GCGAAGGCGACGGTTGCAGATCAGATCTGCCAATCCGTACAGTCCACCTCCAACCTCCTCCACCTCATGCATGATTCCTCCCCTTCTCAGGTCCTTTTTCCCCATCACTTCTCTTTGTTTTGTAGATTGATATTTTCATTGAATTGCTGCCTTATTTGCTCATGAAACTTGGTATAGTAATTGTAGTAGTTGAATAAAAAGAGAAAACCAAACTTGAGGAAGTTATTTGGAACAGGTGTCTGTTTAACCCATTTGTCCAAGTAAACTGTGATCCTCGAGAGGTTTTACAAATACGAAGGATGCAACATATATATATATATATAACATAACTAAATAATAAATTATATATAATATATATACGTATATACTATCATGCGAGAAAATATGGGTATGCTTCGGTACCAAGCACAAATTTTATGTTTGGTAATGAAGTGGCACAATCCCCTTCCCACTCCATTCAACATGGGTGACCACAAAATTTGCACATGGGTTTGAGAAAGTGGCATCGGGAGTATCAACCATTTGAATGAGTGGAGGGATTATAACCACCCTCACTAACGCAAGCATAATTTTTGTGCTTGGTACCAAAGGCATACTCATTTCTCTCCTTCTCTCTCTCTCTCCGTCTCTCTCCTCCTATAATACTGATTATAATATATAATACGTCATATAGTATGTATAATACTACCTATAATATATATATACTACATATAACGATATACAGAAAATGGAGGAACCTTGTAGCCAGTTGCTAATCAACTTGGTAGTGAATCGGCAAATAATCCCTTTGCCCCTAACAGTCACCACTCGAAGATAGAATCGCCCTCAACCACCCCTTCAACAACTCCAATGTAGATACTTAGACAAGATTCATATTGCACCAGCAGCTACCAATCCGTATTTTGAGCAAAACTGTACCAAGTTTCTCCATTTCTCTCTCTCTCTCTCTGAAGTCTCTCCTCTCTCTCTCTCCTCTCTTATTATATATATAGTATAGTACTACGTATATACATCAATATATCATATAATATAATATTTATAAAGTACATATATACCTATATAGCATGTAGTATGAATTAATAGTGACATTTAGTGTGTCCTCCAAAATCACATGTCAATAGAAGGCTAATCCATAATTCCATATAACTCCGAACTCTTTTCTAGTGGAAAAAAAAATTTGCTGAAGAAGTTAACAGTACAAGTGCTAAAAACTCTCGCGAAGGGGTTATTAAATTTCAGGACCAACTCAAGAGGAATAGTACCCTCTTGTGCCTTGTAAAATCAAGTTTGGAGTTGTATAGTGCTAGGTGTTTCCTGCACAGTATCTGTGGTGCTTACATGGAGTATCAACGTCAAACACATGATTGAGGCTGGTTGGAGACATGAACATGCATTCGTGCTATATAAGCAGTGCGTCAGTCTATCACTAGTGTGACTTGAGCCATAGATGTTATCTTCTTAATTGGTTACCAAGACAATATGAAGGTTAGGGGATAAAATAATACTTTGAAAGTAGCATATTCTACAATATGATATCTACATGGTTTGCATACTCCTAGTTGGGTATCAGAATTTTTTTTGGAGATTTAGATAATCCATAATTCTCAATATACAATGTGAAACCATTCGTGTGGTAAGAAAACTATATGACATCAGCTACGAGCATAGACCTCAAGCCTGGGAGGGAAACTTCACCTTTAGGACACATGAGCCAGAGAAATGAAGAATGGTCTCCTTAACGTGGTGAATCATCTCATGACATAGAGCATATGCACATGCAGTCTTAGGCTCATTTAAGTCCTTAAAAAAAACAATCCTTGCATAATGTTGCGTGTTGGATACCAGGCCTTCTTATAGATGCTCCAACCCTCAATTTCTCCTCTACTGCTTATTAGTTTTTGCCCCATTATCATTCATGAATCTTGAAAAGAAACTAGGGAACAGAAGGAAAGACAGATAATTAGGGTTGCGAAGGCGGGGGTGGGGATGGCACATAATCAAAGTCCTCAGACAAATTTGGCCATATGTCCTCAGAATTTTGATCAATCTTTTTAAAAACTAGGAGGTGGTAATTTTCCCCTATTTCTACTCTGTGTTTTCCTTCTCTTATCATCAGTAGAGAGCAGAGGCATGATTTTTTTATTTTTAACTAAGTAGTTGTTTTACTGATTTGTTCCCTCTCTTCTATAACCTGACACTTCTTTGATCAGATATTTTGAAAAGAAAAGAGGTTGCCATTTCTGGCGCGCAATATAGAGGAATTTATTATCAGTAGAGAGCAAAGAAGCATGAGTTGGTACTTTTGCTAAGTAGCACAGAAATAGCCTTTTCCAGTAATAGTTCCTTTCTCCTATAAAACTTCTCTGATTAATTTGTTGAAGAGAGAAGAAGCAGTACTCATGAATATTTGTAATCTTCTGTCTTGTGATATCTTAGCTTGAGAAAAGAACAGTGCAGTGATTGAATAATTTCATTTTGAGAAGAATGTTCTTAGCCATGCCAAGATTATTTAAGCTTGGTATCAAGCCTAATTTCTCTTATTCATGTGCAAATATGAAACAAGTTGTCAAAGGCAATATTACTCGAGGAAGAAGACAGTAAGGCGGGGATGTCTAAAGCATGTCCTGGTTGTAGAATTCTAATGTCCGGGCCAAAGATAGTCACATTGATAAACATGTAATGACCCAACAATGTAGCAATCTCATCTTTCTAGTCTCTACTCTTATACTTACTGCAATAAGCATTTTTATGCCGGGAATATGAAAATTACGCTCATACTAGTTGTGCGTTTCACATTTACATTCTAGTTAAACTTAATGAACAGCCGGACCATTTCTAAATCCTTCCTGTAGTTACGTTGATTCTGTAAGATATCTACTTGCACTACTGATTTTTCCATTTAACATGCATGATAATGCGAAATCTGTAAATCGTGATTGTTAGACTATGGTTCTCACATCATATTTAAACTCGAAGGCATGAAACTTGATAGCGTGCATAAGTTTGGACTTTGGAGTAGAGTCCCTTCTAACTTTATTATTCTTCTCCTTTCAGGAGCACCTAATGAAGTTCCCCAAGAATCTCTTAGCCAAAGCATCTACAATACGAAACACTGGACAAGTATTATGCAACCAAAACTTCCAGGAATAAATATAACTTTTGTTCAAGTTTCCCTAATAACTTTATATTCTTCATGATATTAGGTATTGGAGCAGTTACCCCGGGTCATTTCTTCCTTGGATGCCTACACAGAGAACAGCTTACAGAGGTTCATCTTTATTTCATGTTTTGGTCGCATTTTCTTTAGGTGAAATAACGGTAGAAAATTGAATAGTCGATTGGACAATAAGGAGGCGGCCCTCTTCTCAGAAATCATGTCAACATTTGAAATACTCACGAAACTTTGAATACATCTGAGATGTTCCCTTGCAATTAAAAAACCATGCCTTTCTTCTTCGTGACCTCTAAGACAGAATGGAGCAGGAGGGGATAAAAAGAGCTTAAGATAAAGATTGCTGTATGTACAAATTTAGCTCCAACGTGATATGTCTAATCTTGCTTTATTTTGTCACTCAAATACTTTATTTTCTAATTTATATATTATTGTTTAAAGAAAAGACTTTTTTCCATTGTCATGTTTGTCTTCTAAAAACAATTTGGAGTTTCAAATGATGGGAATGCTTAAGTGTGATTTTCTGCATAAAGTAGGAGGTAGCACATTAGTTACATGTTCAGGACAGTTGGTAAGTGAAAGTCTAGTGGTAGTTATCGATAGTCTTTTGTAGTTAAGCCTTAAGAGTTATACAAGTAAAGATGACCCTGTTCAAGTTGATAATATATAATTGAGAATCAAATGTTTGTCATGTGGGTACAAGAGACGGCTAGGCATTTACCATTTATGTAGGATGCTTATTCTGCTTTCTTTTAGTAGTAATAACAGCTTCTGAAGATCCCATCAGCTTAATCCTGAAAGAGGACTTGGAAACTGAGCTGATCCGCTTCATAGAAATGAAGAGCATTTCTGAAGTAGAATTTTCTTCCCCTCCATCATGTTGTAGAGTTATCACCGATATAAAAGTTTGGAGGATGAGGCTGCCGCCAATAGTTAAGATCACCAAAATGACAGGACTCATAGCATCCATTGTTCGTGGATGCAAATCAAGCATTTATATTGTATGTTGTGTTGCATTTTTCACTTTTTTATACACCTAGACATCACAGATTTAGCTTTTGTCCTCACCATAGTTTTATATCAACCAATTGATACTAACTATAATAAGATCACTGGAATCCTTAATCTAAAGGTGTTGCTTCCATCCTAATACCTTCCTTGTTCCTTGCAGTGCTCCTCAACTGAAGACTGTGAGCCAGTTGCTATCAAATATGGAAAACTCTCAGCTTAAGTTTGCATTTCCAGCGAAGCAATTAGAGGAGCAGCAGAAAGATTCAGGGGAAGTTGTTGGAACTACCTAAAAGAGAGAATTACATCACTGTCCATGGTAAATATCAAACATTGTTTGCTCGTTTCTATGTGCATTTCCTAGCCACTGCAACTCATTCGTGGTGTCAGAAGAGTCTTGTTTGGGCTGTCTCTCTACCATTTTTTGCTTTTTATTTTTGGTTATAATTTGTTCTGAAAGGTTTCTTATTTTGCTCATCTCTCAACCTTTCATCATCATCATCATCCTTCTTTCTCCAGTAACCAGCTGTGCATTGTTGAAAAAAGCCCCGCTTTTGGCCGCTTAAGCGGTTTGCAAAATGGAAGTGGTGCCTCGGCGCTCTGCTTTCATCAAAATCGGCCAATGAAAACGGACTTGGCGCTTTCTACTGAAAAACATGGCAAAAAGCTCGTAGAAATGTTGTTAAACACTAAAAAAACGTAATAGCCCTTAGCAACACTTTAAAAAAATAAATACCAGTTTATATTGTAGCCGACCCAAACCCAAACCTGACCCATTTTCTTAAGTAAAATTCTCTGCTTCTCTCTCTCCTCCGCCCTGCTTCTACGCGACTCAAGATGAAAATAAACCCTAACGCTAACCCCACTCCAGCAGCCTCATCCACTACTTCCAGCCAACTTCGTTGCATCCAGCCCATCTAGATCCTCCTCCAAATCCTTCTTCAGCAAGCTCCACTTTCACCATCACCATCATAGCATCATCTTTTTTGAGCTCATAATCGAAGCTCACCATCACTATCTCCAATCGAAGCATACCATCACCATTATCATCTCCAGTCGAAGCTCCTCCACCTTCTTTAGTTGAAAACACTTTCTCCTGACAATCCTCTCCTCTGAGATGGTTCTGCATATTTAAACTAAACCATTGTTTTACTTGGCACTTTTTTAAGCCCTAAAAAGCTCACGGCTTCACGTCACTTTCTGCTTTCCAAGTCGCTATGAACGATGCAACATTTTTGTTGCAAAGGGGAGCTTTGTAGCATAGAAGATGTCTATAAAATAGAGAATAACATAGCAAGGAACAAACACAATAGAGATAAAGAGAGCAACACACAAGAATTTTATGTGATTTGGTCAATATCTTGACTTACATCCACAAGTGAATACAATTGAGAAATTCACTAATCAAAAGAGGATATTATAATAAAGAGTTTATTCTCTAATCTCATTTTAAACTCACTAAGAATCATATGAAAAGAGTCACCCAATAATAATCTCTCTCTCTCTCTCATTTTCTGTCAGAAGCATACATTTCACTCTCTTATTTTCTGTCAGAAGCATACATTTCACGCTTCAACTTCACAGGCAATTTATAGTCTTAAATCTCTATGTGAAGTAGAATAAAGTGTGAATGGCATAATAGGGCTAGGCATGTGAATAGGTGAGCTACAATCACATGCAAAATGTGTAGGTAGAGAATTCAAAGTGAAATTCTCTTCATCTAATTAAAAGTCATGTTTAACAAATCTCAACCCTTGACTTTGAGAAGCACATAAGAAAGAAAGTGAAACGCCTTAGAAACGACAATGGGTTGAGACATCTATTCTACAGAGCTTGACTCATTCTGCAAGAATAAAGATATTGTGCAGCATACACCACAGCAAAATAGAGTTGCAGAAAGAATGAACATGCTTTTTAATGTTGGTTTGTCAAAGGACTTTAGGCTGAACTTTGGGTTGAGACTATCAATACGACTTATTTTGGTAAACAAAACCCCTTCTACAGTAATTGATCTTAAGACTCCAGAAGAGGATGGTCTAGTGCCCCTACTAATTACTCTCATTTAAATGTATTTGGTTACTCTGCTTATTTTCAGCTTAATGATGGTAAGCTTGAACCTAGAGCAAAGAAAACTAGCTTTCTTGGATATGCTACTGGGGTGAAGGGATATATGTTGTGATGTTTTGATTCCAAGTCACATAATTTTATTGTTAGTAGCGATGTTATTTTTTACGAAAAAAAATCTATGCCTCACCTGAGAAAGGTGTTTGTTGCTAATATTGAATATATCGAAAAGGAATCTAGCAAGTAGATGGAGTCAGAGAACTATGCTTCAAAGGGTTGACACTGTTGAACCAGGAATCTAGAAAAGGAATCTAGAAAGGTTTGAGAGCGCTCATGTTGAACCAGTTGATACTGTTAAGGGTTCAACTTTAGATGATGATACACCTCAAGAGCAACAATACGATATTGCCACTGGAAGAGCAAAAAGATAGATTCGACCTCAGCATTATGTGGACATGGTTGCCTACGCTTTGAGCGTAGCAGAATCGGTTGAGATTTCAGAGCATTTTACCTACAAATAGGTTATTAGTGAAAGTGAAGCTGCAGAATAGGCTTATGCAGTGATTGAATAGATGAAGTCTCTTTACAAGAATCAGACATGAGAGTTAGTGAAGCCATCAATGGGGCAAAATATTGTTGGTTATAAATAGGTCTTCAGGAAGAAAGAACAAACTTCATATACATGTTATGTTTGATACAAAGCATGCTTAGTAGCTAAGGACTACATCAGACCAAAAGTATGAACTTCAATGACATGTTCTCTCTAGTTGTAAATCACACTTTAATCCAGCGTGTTGCTTGCCATGATTGCTCATTTTGATTTGGAGTTTGAGCAACTCAATGTGAAAATGACTTTTTTACATGACGAGTTTGAGGAGTAAATTCTTATGCATCAGTCAGAGGGGTTCATTGAAGATAAAGAAGATCATTTGTACAAATTGAATGTTTCTTTTTATGGAGTGCAGCAATCTCTGAGGTAGTAGTATTTGAGATTTGATACTGTAATGTTTGAACATGGTTACTCTAAGAGTAAATATGATAGTTGTGTTTATCATAAAAAGATCAACGATGGTTCTTTTATACATTCACTTTTGTATGTTGATTGCAACTAAAGACATGTTAAAAATCGATGAGTTGAAATATCAGCGCATGCAGGAGATTGAGATGAAATATTTTGGAGCAGCAAAGAAGATTTTAGAGATAGAGATTCATAGGAACAGACAAGAAGAAAGATTGCTTCTATTTCAAGAGAAATACATCAATAAGGTTTCAGAGAAATTTAGCACGCTTGATGCTAAGCTTGTGAGGACTCTGTTTGTTGCTCATTTTCGTCTTTCAGCAGATCTATCGCCTCAAAATAAGGAAGATGAAAATTTCATATTTAAAGTCAATACGGGATTTGTTAAATGTGACTTTGAATGGGATGATGAAAATTTCACTTTTGAGTTCTCTTCCTACACATTTTGCATGTGATTGTACCACACCTATTCATATGCCTAGTACTACTATTCAACTCACTCTCTTGTCTACTTCACATAAAGATTGAAGGCTATAAATAGCTTGTGAAATTAAAAAGTGAGATGTGTGCTTCGTACAGAAAATAAGAAGGGGGTTGGGGGCGTTAATTATTGAGTGATTCTTTTCATGTGATTCTTTAGTGGGTTTTAAGTGAGATTAGAGAGTGGTCTCTTTGTCGTAATATTCTCTTTTGATTAGTGAATTTCTCTATTGTTTTTGACCGTGGATGTAGGTCGAGATACTGACTGAACCATGTTAAGTCTTTGTATGCTGTTCTCTTTATTTCTACTGTGGTTTTTCAGCGTAGTGTTATTCTCCACTTTATATAGACATCTTCTGTGTTGCGAGTTGACCAAGTTCCAAAAAATGGAGAGAACTTTATGATATATTGCTAGTTTGATGTCACTTCTGTTGCCAAATTTCTGCTGAGAAAAATATCAACTTGTTAGCTAAAGGAAGCTAACTTATTGTGCAAGTTAAACTAGTGCAACCAAGTAGCAACTTGCCAAAAATTTATAAATTTGTTGTTAACAGGGAGCATGATACAAGCCATAAATCCCATTGCAGAAAATCATCTACGAAGCAAAATGTCAAACCATATACATTTTGTTTTGTTGGCAAAATCAGGTTTCTTTGTGTTGCAGAAACTGTGTGCTCCTTTTACATTTTATTTTGTTGGCAAACCATATACATTTTATTTTGGGCAAAATAGAATTGAAGTCTGCCAACTCAAAGTGTGTGACATATCTTGCTTCCACCTATTAATTTGTGTTTCAGCTTGGTTAGTGTTCATCCGGGTTATATTTAGGGAAGGCTAGAATTAACTGTGGGAAGATGGAAGTAAACATATTCAGTATGGATCCAACAACATGCAAATCAGTAAACATATTCATTAAAAGTCTTACAAGTTAGTTATACTCTTTGTGATTTATACACACTATTTTTCTTCATGTTTTTTTCCTGCAGATGAACTAATATCTCGCATTTTTCGCTTGACCTTTTCACATTCTATCAAGTGTTCTCGGTGAAAACTATGTTTAGATCCGATGCGGCTTCAGCTCTTAAGCTTGAGCTTCAGCTCTCGATCTCCAGTAACTTGTGATCAGGATGATAGCTCTGTAATTTTCTTTTGCCAGGCCCTCGTATACTGTCTCATTGTGTGCCCTTGGGTTGTATTACTGTCACAAAAGAAAGTACAAGCCCACTGTAAATGGAATTATATAATGCAGCTTTTAGGCTTAGGCTTTTATGATAAATATAATGCACATGGAATTTATAGTTCACTATCTATTTACTTTTGGTGAATGCTAACTAAAAGTACACTTGGAGAATTAAAATAGGTCACATAGCAGAACACAACCCCCACCTCCCATGAGGGGGAGAAAAACACGCACCGCCCCTTTACTTCAGGTGATTAGCGGTAGGGGTGGAAATGAACCAAATAATTAACAAATAGTTCGATAATTGTTCGAATAACTATTCGATCATATGGAAATGAACCAAATAATTAACAAATAGTTCGATAATTGTTCGAATAACTATTCGATCATATTCGATTCGGTAGTTCATTTACCACTAAACAAATATTTTTTAGTATTCGAGTTTACTAACGAATAGAATTTAACCAGATGTATATTCGATTAATTTGTTTATTAAATATTCGTTTAAAATTTAATCACAGCTTATTATTTGTATTATTGCACATATGATGTCATATTTTTAATTCACTTACCATTTCTACTTAACTTTTATATACTGATTTTAAGTCTAAAATAATCTTAAATCTATATATACTGATTTTAAGTCTAAAATAATCTTAAATCTATTTTCTAATTAAAATTTTGATTTAAATATATACACATCATATATTAAAAAGGAATATTTTTTATTTATGAATTTTGGTTATCTGATAACTACTATTCCTAGTGCAGGCGATGCGTGCATAAACAATGCACATTTGTGGGAAACACTCGTTAGCATTGTTAGAGTAGACAATAGCAAATTGCTAATGATATGAATTGATTAACATTATCATGTAAAAAAAATTTAAGTTAGGGTAAATTATACTATACCCCATGAGCTTTTAGCATTTTGCAGAAAACCCTTATGAACTTTCACACTAAACCCCCAATAATTTTTGCAGAGAAACCCAATGTCTTTTGGGTAAATTACACTAAGCCCACAATAGCTTTCAAATGCCTTTTTATGTTGTTTTCTTATTCTAATTTATGGGTGTTATCTACATTTAAATGCAGAAAGGAATTGGATGCTCAGTGTGGTTTTGAAAGTTCATATGGGTCTCCCACAAAACATTGAAAGTTTGTGGGGGTTTAGTGTAATTTACCATTTATGTTATACGCAACATTTAGATTGAAAAGTACTAAAATAACTAATTTAATAAGAATTCTGAATCTCAAACTTTATTGACGTTGAGAGGTTGAATATTAGATAGAAAACACTTGAACACATTCCATTATAGACAATTGAATGAGAAATTTTGAATATACATAGTTATCTGCTAAAACAAAAACTTTCAAAATGCATGAAACTTACCTATAAAAAAGTCTTATGATCAGAGGTAGAGGTTCTTGCGTTGAATCTTGTAGAAGGAAGATGTATGCAAAATGGACAACAAAGGCGTTGTTTGGATACTATGGTGTTTTACTTGTTTCTATCGTGTTTTTGCCAAAAACAAAACACCATGCATTTGGAAACCATGGTCTTTTTTGAGTTAAATCATCCTCAAACCAAAAACACAACGCTTATTTCAAAACACTTTTTAGGTGTTTTAAGTTTGCTGTTTTGGTTTTGAGTTTGAGAATGTGTTAATATAATATCTAACATAATATATTAAATGTAATTAATATAGAGTTATTATCAACATATTTATTATGTTATATTATACTATATTATATTATAGTTAATTTAATATACTAGTATAATGCACGTGCTTTGCACGTGGACATTATTTGTATTTAATATTATATTATTTAATAAATTATATATAAACATTTTACAGTGTTATTTTATTACAATATGATTAAAAAATTTAAGTTATACTATTATAGTACTTAAACTATTATTAACACACATTAAATAGTTATTTAAATTTCCTTATTATTATGTTATTAAGCTAGTACTTAAACTATTATTAACACACATTAAATAGTTATTTAAATTTCCTTATTATTATGTTATTAAGCAGTTTATTTAAAAGTATAATTATTAAATAATAATGTAATCGTTAGTTTAAGTTTAGGGCATCTCCAACAGCTTCTCTAAAATTTTCTCCAAAATGGGGAAACAAAAGTCATATTCTTCAAATTATTTTTACACCAACTCCAACAGCTTTCTCATTTTGAAAAATCTCTTTTTTCCTCAAAAAATTTGGAAAATGCTACAGATTTGGGGAAGCTTCCCCATTTTTTCTCCTCTATCCCTATTTTGGGGAATGAGATGGGGAATCTGTTAAACCAAAAACCTAACTAAATTCTCCAAAAGTAGGAAATTGGGAAGCTGTTGGAGATGCTCTAACACTATTAAAATAATTAAATTATTTATATTATTAAGTATTTATGTTATGTACATATTTATTACAATATCTATTAAATAATGGTAATAATTTTTAATATTATATGACTTTATGTTGTAAAGAATATTACCTTGTTCGATAATTAATATATTCTTAGTAATAAAAATTGGATGGTATAAATTAAAAATATTATTATTTAGGAAAAATACTTTATATAAACATATTGGATTATTGAAATTTATAAGACATTTACTTGCCAACAAAAAGTGTATGTCTCATTAATTTTAAGGATCCAATATTTTTATATAAAGTAATTTTCCTAAATAAAAGTATTTCTAATTCATAACATCCAATTTTTATTATTAAGACAATATTATAATGTCGAAAAAGGTAATATTCGTTACAACATAAAGAATCAATCCTTATTTATACTATTATTAATAATTATAATTTATGTACAGTAATTTATTAAATAAATAATTTTTACTATTTTATTACAATTAATAATTCTTTATAATGAATTATAATATATTTATTTATTTTATTATCGTTATAAATTATCAATATATTCTAGTGAATGACTAAATATTTTGGGAAAAAGAAGAGAAAAGTATATGTCTTATAAATTTCAAGGGTCCAAACATTTTTATGTAAATCAATTTTCCAAAATAAAAATATTTTTGCTTTATAAAGTCTAAATTTTTATTACTAAGACGATATTAATTATCAAACAAGGTAATATTCTTTACAACATAAAGAAATAACCCCTATTTATACTATAATTGATAATTATTATGCACAATAATATATTAAATAAATTATTTTTACTATTTTATTACAATTAAAAATTCCTTATAATGAATTATCTTATATTTATGAATAATATATTAAATAAGTATTTTCACTATTTTATATAATTAATAATTATTTATAATAAGTTCTGATATATTATGAATTTTGTTATCATTATAAATTATTAATATATTCTAGTGAATGACCAAATAATTTGAGAAATTGAGAGGTGCATAGTTAATGAGAGGTTGTGGATCATTAGCTTTATAAATAGTGGTATAATTATGAGTTATAAAAAATTGAGAGGGTAAAAATTAATAATAACATAAGAATATAATAATATTATTATAATAACATATTGTATAGTAAATGTAATATAATATATAAAATATCAATATATTATGTAATAAATAATATAATTTATCATAAAGTAAAATAATTTTTAATAATAAAATAATTTATTGCTAACAAATGTTAATGTAAAATAATATTTTCATAATATAATAATATTTATTTATATCATAAATACTAATATATTATTAAAGTACTATTAATAAACTCTAACATATTAAAAACTATAATATATTATATAATATTAAATATTTATAATATATTAATTTATTAATAACATACTAGTAATAACATAATATTAACATTATTAATAATATTATATTATATGAATAATAGTATAACATTATATTATATTAATAATAGTATAATACTATATTAATAATAAAATAACATTATTATAAAAATATTAGGGAAAATTGTGTCCGCGCCCCAAAAGCAGAAACTTCATGTGTTGCAGCCCCTTCAACTTTTTCCCATGTGGTTCAGCCCCTTAAAATATGATATTTTGTGCTGCAATCCCTTTTTAGCAATTATTGCATGCTAACTAAGCTAAAATTTTCTAAATGTCCTTATCCTCTCTCATCAATCCCTCAAACCTAGCGCTCTCTCATCTCCTCTCTCTCTCTCTCTCTCTCTCTCTCTCTAAAACCAAGAGCTTTCTCAAGCTCGTCGCCCTGGCCCTCGCCCTCCTCGCCATCGTCGCCTCCGCCCATGCCCCCAAACGTCCCCTCGAGTTCGCCGTCGCCTCCCCTCCTCTCCTCCGCCCGACCTCATCGTCGTAGCTCGCCACCGCTCCCCACCTCTCCCTCGACTACGTCGGAGTTTGCCGCTTTCTCTCTCCGCCTCGCCCTCGAGTTCACCGCCGCCTCCTTCCCACCCGACCTTTGAGTTCATCCTTCCCCCTCACTTGAGTTCAGCCATAAGTTTAGCCTCACAGGCTCCACTTTGAATTCGACCACCTCTCGACCTCTGCCGTGTTGTTATTGATAGGACTCTGAGTTCGAGCGCGGCCACCTCGAAGCTAGCGATGAAGGTTTGAAGCTGTCGAGGATGTTCAAGAAGCAGCAGCCCAAGGATCGATTCAAATTGTTGATTAGCAAGTCGCTTAGTTTGATAAGCATTGCTACGCACTGAGATTTTGGAGGTGTTTAGATATTGTTTCTTGTACATTTTTTGGTGATGATGTGAACATGTATTTACATGTGATTTAATTTTAATAAATAGTATTCGATTTTATGTCCCTTTTTGTGATATCCTGATTTTGGTGACTCACAGTTTCACGTTGAAAATTTTCAATAAAGGACCCTACATATTTGTTAGTTGATAGTGTGAAAAATAGAACTAGAACTAACATGCGGTGAGTTAGAATTAACATGCGGTGAGTTAGTACTAACACGCGGTGTTAGGACTAACACAAGAGCCCAAGAGCCATGAATTAGACTAGAACTAACACACAGTATTAGGACTAACACAAGAGCCTAAGAGCTATGAATTAGAACTAGAACTAACACGCGGTGAGTTAGAACTAACATGCGGTGTTAGGACTAACACAAGAGCCCAAGAGCCATGAATTAGAACTAGAACTAACACGCGGTGAGTTA